AAAGCCCCCAAAAAGCCAATTCATTTGGCACAAGAACTATAATAATAATAATAAACAGTACAGTTTCAATAGGCTCTCGCAGCGCTTAGCTGCTCGGGCCTAATAAACCTCACAACTTTTCATTGTGCTTAAGTAACTGTGCTCAGAATATAACCCTCCTTTGTGCCGTTCTTCTCTTACTGGCTATCCTGACTGCGGCCTGCAGTCAGCTGCTATACAAACATGCTGCTTGAGGCTCACTGTAGTTTTGCCTAGCACTGGCTTAAAAAAAACAACAAAAAAACAGGTAAATGCTCTTAAAGCTTTCTCCCCATAAGTGTGTTTATCACAGCAGGAAATATTTTCAGCCAAATTTGTATTGTAGCCATCTTTCAGCCAGCTAATTGAAAGTACAAAGAAACATGTGGGGGAGGGGAAGCATTTGGATATAACTGGAGATAATTGGTCCCTCCAGAAATTTTTTTAACATCTCAACAATCTCATCAGGAATGATACTGATGCTTTCAGTATCATTCAAAGAGCCAAAAAATAAAGCTCATACTCCCATGTTTGTATAAATGTGTAAAATGTTTTGTTTTAGAAAATGTTTCACACATTTATATGTAAATACGTGACAGGTATTTTGATTATAACATTTTATTTCCTAAAATTATGAACACTTGCAGTGACAAAAAAAAAAGCATTTTCAATAAAGCTAATTATGTAATTCTCCTTGTCTTTCCAGACGGGACCTGACTACGGTCAGGGCATGAACCCAATCAGCCGATTAGCTCAAATCCAGCAGGCCAAGAAGGAGAAGGAACCGGAGTACCAGCTGCTTTCGGAGAGAGGGATGCCGCGACGCAGGGAGTTCGTCATGCAGGTGAGCATCTATCTTAACTTCTTTATTTCTTACTCCGCCCTGTTGGAACAGGGCAAAGTGAGGATTAAAGATCACGTCAGGATTATTTTCCTTGTATAGAAATGGTCCATATATGGACAAGTATTGAACTTTTTTGTTTGCTTTCCTGACTCTTTTCTCAAAACAATTTTCTAGATTTCTGGGTGGAGGAGGAAATCCTTTGTCAGATGACTATGACAGAAAACTGAAACGTTGAAACACCCAGGTTCAACGGAAGGCTTTGGAACAAAGCATATTCATGTGATAGAATGGCCCAGTCAAAGTCTTGACCTAAATCAAATTAAGAATCTGTGAAGAACATTTCTAAAACACCTTGTAAATGCATCTAAAAAAAAAAAAACAAAACAAAACATGGTTTAAAAATCTGAAGCATTTATAAGATTGTGTACATACATGTATAGAACCTACCGAAGGTTATCCTGGCCTTGTTGATTTTAAACAAGGTCTGTGTCTAGACAGCCTTCTGTGTTTACCGTTTTTTTGACGGTACATCTTATCCAGGGTCACTCCTTGTTCCAGTGTTGATGTCTGTGGGTCAGCTTGACTTTACATTGACAGAAAACTTTTGCCCAGATGAAATAAATGAAGAAAAAAAAAAAGTTAGACTTCACTTGCTTTTGCAAGAACTGAGCTGCGGGGCGGGGGAATTATCCTAAAAATAATAATAATAAAATGTTGGGTTTTAATGTTAGAGTTTTTAGTGTGTTGACTTTAGTTTCAACAGAATAAGATGGAGGATGGTGAAAAGATGAGATAATGTACTCTCTGGACAAATGGAGCATAAAATTAATCTGCTGAATTCACATCTGATTGATTAATCAGGGGGCGGGGTGGGGGGGCGGAGGTGTTACTGATTTTTGGGATGTGTTGTGCAAAAGGTGAAAAAAAAAGAAACAAGATGACCATTCCCTCCGGTCTGCACATGAATCTGTCATTCTAATCACGATTGGCAGTGCACAACGTTTTCAACAATAAAATCTGTCTCCAAGTGCACTCTCATGTGTAACTCTATGAAAATGTGATCATATAAAGCTTAATATACTTAAAATAATTGAAACGCGGTGCATTAGGAAAAACGAGGCACTGGCAGAGCTGAGCGATTTTATGCTAGCTCGTTTTACAGTTTATTAATTTTGTTAAATGACTGAGTTTGTGCGAGCACTGTCCAGTAACAACAGCTGTGTTAGATTGGTAACTTGGCCGTCTAGTTCAGTGAGCCTGAGTCTGATTTTCTGAGTGGGGCTGTAGCCGCTCAGAACCCTCTTGTTCGGAGTGTCGGCTTACGGTTGTGGTCAGCAGTGTTACATCCACTCACATGTCCATGAATTTAGTTAATTTGAGCTTATGATAAATTGTTACAAGTGTTTTTTTTTTCCTTTTTCTTCTTCTTTTTTGTTGAATATAAAATATGCACATGGAGTATTGTTTAATATTCGAACTGTGTGAATAATTCGGAGTAAAATAGCGGCTTATAGTCCGTAAAACATATGCATATGTATATGCATACACAACTTGTAAGCTTTGGCTAAATGTCTCTATGCAATTTGCACCTCTACCACTAGCATTGTCTCTTACCTTTTGAAAAATGTTGTCTCAAAATTTGACCACCATTCTTCATTGAATAGGTGGAGTTCATTTAAACTGGCCTGCTACCAAACCCATCTCTCCTTTTAAATTTGACCATTTTATATGAGTTTGGGATCATTCTTTGAGAAAACTCAACAAATTTTCTGCAAGTCTCTAGTGTCTAACTGTTGTTTGTTTTGTTTTTTTTCTTTTAGTAAAAAAAAAAAGAAAAAAAATGTTTGAGGTAGTCCTTTACTGCTACTCTTCCCAATGCACCAGCACCGCTGATATCAAAACAGACCCACAGCATGACACTGCCATATTGTGGAATGCCAAGTTTACAGAGGATGTTGCCATTTTAGTCAATCCCGAAGGTGGCAGTTTTAGAGTAGTCGATTCTTAACGCCAGAATTTAACATACTAATTAATTTTTGTTCAACATTGGTTGAGGTAATCAAAGCAGGGCTCCTTTGCAAATTGAATACTTTCTTTTCATCACAGAGTTGGTCTGCTTAGAGGCATTAAACCTATTTCAGAATGTAACTTTGTAATTATTCCACAACAAAACATTCTTCTTTTTTTTTTTTTTAATAAATTGTAATCTTCGCTGTCTCAGTTTTCTGCTTCCTATTCTGGGTAAAATGTTCACTTTGATCATTTTAAATCATTGCCACTTAACTTGTTACACATATAGTTAAATAAATATATATATATATATATAT